AAGATCAATGGCCACGCAGAGAAGTTGCCAATCCCTCGGCCTCATCATACTTTCCCTCACCAGTACAGTAGCACTTCCAGAACCCTCCCCGGGCCCAGCTTTCCAAAAGAAAAATTATAGGTCTCTCACGCGAAACTCATCGACAGCTTTCTGAGGGGGGCCAACCTACGTACAGCTGTGATCAGTGACATCCAGGCCGTGTTATTTTTTGACTGCGCCGGATAGCTTAGCAAGACTACGATAGTAAATCTCGTTGATCAGATTTATTTAAAAACTCATGTCCGGGAAACAAGTATAAATCAACCTGCTGTATCCCCATTGCCCTCAGGCGGCTATTCTCGGCATGCAGGAAGCACGCGCAGCCTTGCAGAAATCCTTGGATGATGACAAGGCGAAGCGAGCCAGCGTGAAACGTGTCATATCACACATTAAACCGACATTCCACAACTAAATCAGTTGACGCTGAATACAAAATATTATTTAGATCACATTCTTCGATCTAGAATATATCGAGTTTTACATTTTTTTTATCGTCGTCGATCCTCGGTCTTTGATTCGTTGGGCTTGGATGAGGTTGAGCTCATGGCGGATCAAACTAAGATCTTGAATTCCAAGATCGAGGAGTATGACCGATCAGCGAAGCCTGCAAAGCAGCAGGGTAAGAAGAAGGAACCAAAAGCCAAATGAGCTTACACTCTTTTCAAGTTTCGGGGCAAAGCATTTCAGCTTTGTGGTTTTTGGGGTGTGCAAGCTTGCTGCCATAGACCGCTTGAGCCCTGTACTCATTGAATGAATGCTTTTACCACTTGAATCACGGTCAATGTGTAGTGTTAAACTGTACTTGCCATGAAATATACGCATGTTCTCAAGTACTGTGTTTGGGGGGTTGTGGCTGGCAGCATTCTTGCCTGTGATGCAGCTCAGAGTCTTAGAACGATATAGATCAAAGCGGGCCCGCTGCCCACCAGATCATGGCCGGGTCGCTAGAAAGCAACAGCAAGTACAAGTCAAAAATGTGGGCCATGCATGCAAGAGTGCCTGCACTGTATTGTGTGAGATTCGCGTGCCATGTTTAATCTTAACATCAAATCTGCTGGTGATGCAAAGCAATCACGCATGTGTTAAAAAATATTAAATCAACTGTAGTTTTTAGATCATATAGGAGTACGCTGGACACATCCGATCCTTCGCAGATTCGGACACTGACGCTGAGAAAGATGCCATCACGGTGGACATGATGAGCAGGATTGCCGAGCAGGCGTCGACATTCTTGCGCGAAGACTGTCGTAAACCCAAACAAATATACTGACCGGTAAATTTCATTTCAGCTTCGATTAGATCAACATGGCAGTTGGGGGAAGGGGATGCGAACCTTTGGAATGGGATTCAAGAGTTCCGCTTCAGCAGGTTTCAAGTTTCAACCTACATTGCTTGTGACTTCCCCTTGCAGGCCCAAAGCATCAATTCTGTTGTGGCTTCTGCGGCTGCGAGTTCCAAGGAGCCACCATGTGAGGTGCACAAACCTGGAAACCTGGACTAGTAGGCCGGTATACATGAAGTTTGATCCGTGTTATACGAACAGAATTGAGTTTGCAAGCCTACGTGACAGTGAGTTTGTTTTCCATGCTTCTGCAGCGCAGGAGTCTAGAGGTCACGTTTCTGAGATCGTCTCACACCTGGGCCGGGTCCGCCCTACGAATCGGGCACGGTCCTTTTGGAGGGCAGCGGCGTTACCTGTCGACTTGGACACTTTGCCAAAGCTTCATGATGTTTTAAACTAAGTTTCAAGTTGTTTGTTGACCCAGTTCTGCAATACCTGGACCTGCGTCCTGGCAAGTGAGGAGCCGGCCTGGATTGAAGTGCCTGTCATTGACCAGACTGACACAACACAAGCTACGACCATAAAGCTACCTTACCTCGAGCCGCACAAAGTCTTTGCGTACATGAACAACATTGTGAAGACCCCCAAGGGCCACCTAGATTTTTATTGGCAGTGGGGGAAGCACTTCAATTGTGGGTGGGCAAAGCATGGTGGCCCTGGTGTGATTCCATGTGGGATGCACGCCGACGAGGCTAAGTTCAGAGATGGACCGCCTCAAGAGAAGATTTTAGCAATCACCTTGAACTTTTGCTTGTTTAGGCCAGCGTCGGTCCGTCTCTCACGGTTCTTGATTTTCACTATTCGCAGCTGCTACAATCTCGGGCCATCGACCTTGTATCCTTTGTTCTGGAAGCTGGTGGAATCTTTTCATTATGCATTCGTTGGAAAGAATCCAGATGGATCTCAGCTTTGCAGTGATGGATCAAGATTTCTCATCACCGAGATGCGTGGTGACTTAGATTGGTTCAAGCAGTGCTGGCAGTTCGAGAAGCGGGGGTGGATGGCCGTAGATTGCTGCTTTTTCTGCGACGCCAAGTCGAAGGGGCAAACCAATCCTTATTCCGAGTGCGGCGTTGAAGCTCAGTGGAACGAAACTGAGTTTACAGAAGCTTGGGATTGGGCAGCTCACGTCTTGCCTGATCGCTTGTGCGCCTGAGTTCGGTTACTGACAATTTTCAATGTTTCCCCTCGGCCCTGAATGATCGTCAGTTTGATACTAACTCATTTGCTCTGTGGGTGCGCAAGCCGTATCCCTGGTGACAGGCCCACTTCTTGCAACCCCTGGGTTCTCTGTGGACACAATTCGGCTGTGCAGTATGCACACCTTTTGTTTGGGCCTTCTGCAAACAGCAAATGGATCAAGCCTGACCTTTGCATCCAAATCGTTTAGCAGGTTTTCTGTTTCTGCACATTTGTTCAAAAGAAGTTTGGTTTATGTGACTCTTGAATTCTCCCTTGACACCCAACTTCTGGCAAAGGATCAACCTTATAGAGCACGGGTACTATGGGAATCCTGACGGGCCTTTGGACAAACACCTCATTTGCCTGTACCAGGACTTTAAAGCATGGTGCAAGCTCCACAAGATTTACACGAGCCAGCGGCAGTTCTATCCTGGCTTGGACTCTCCTGCTTAGCAGCCAGTCCCTGTTTGCTGTTGTTCCAGGTTCTTTTTGATCATTGCGAGCTGGTTTGCTAAAAACGTTAGGGGCAAATTTTGTGTGAGGTGATCAAATCGAACAACAATGTCACTATGACCCACAAAGCATACAATGGGCATGTGCTGTGCGCCTACACGGCGGAGGCTTCGCGTCTTGCCTTAGAAGGGAGAGACCCCGAGGGCCTGAACAGATTGTTCGGTCAGTGGCGGAAAGCCAACAGGCATGCTGGCCAGCCGGATCCGAAGATGCCCCTGCAAGCTGCGACAATGCGCCTTCCTGTTAACCACAAAAAAGTTGTTTCATTTCAACCGGTCCGAGTTTGGTTGGTATCAGTACCATGGCGGCCTGCATTGGTTTGTGGGGACTCTTGTCTTGGAATAATGGGGACCTAGCTGGTGCAATTGTACCAGGTCAGCTGCTGAGAGGTGGTGTGGCCTGATTGAACGAGCCGGAAGGTACCTGCACCTCGCATTGTTTAGTGGAATGTTTGTGGGGGTCTTGGTCATGAGGTTTTCCACCTTACCCCTGATTTCTCTGGGCAAGTGAGGTCCCGGGAGGAAGCGCAAGACATTTATGATTCAGCGCAAGCTTTTTGCAAGGGGCATGTCATGCTCACTGCCATCCACATGAGGCGCAGCGTTCGTGGGTTGATTTTTTGGGGAACTATATGATTTTTTGGAAACTGTGAGCTGGCAGCTAGGGCCACCTTGGATTATTGTTTTCTGAGTTGGTCGCTGAGTGCCAGTTTGTCAGGGAGCAGCGGGAAGCTCTAGCTCGCCGTGGCAAAATGATGCCATTGCAATGGATTTTGAAGCCCAAACTGCATACGTTTGATCACCAGAATATTTACCTCTTGCTCCACCGGATGAACCCCAGACATGTGCACACGTATACGGACGAGGATCAAATGAAATACGTCAAATCTTTGGCACTGAAGGCGCCCACTAATACCCTGGAGCCGCACATTTTGAACATTTCCAGGTTGCGCCTCAAGTTGGCAGCCAGGCGTATGGCTTTTTTGAATGCCACCAGTGCACGCAGGTCTCGCCGATGAATTGGCACAGAGATCTTGTTTCAGCTTGCGAGAAATAGTGGATGTTTGTGGGCCTGCAAGGGGGGTCCTATGTGTTCTCAGGGTAGTATATATCGAACGGCCTCAATATTTGTGGTTGTTAGGCAGCGGCCTCAATATTTGCAGCCTTTGGAAGGCTAGGGTATACTTATCAATGCTCTCAGCAAACCAGCCATTGGTTTAGTAGTACTAGTTTAGATGTTCCGTTTTTGGCTGAGGAAAAGACTTTGCACAATTGAGGACATTTATTCTTGAGGATCAGAGGCCTTCTGGGTCTACTACCTGTTTAGGAGCAATCTTTACACAAAGGATTGATTAGCGGATTGGTGGCTTTGGGAAGCTGTCAGTTTTGAAGGGCTAGAGAAACCTATACTTATTCAATAATCTCAGCAGGTCAGTCATTTGCTTAGTAGTATTCACAGGTCTCCGAAGGATTTAAGACCTCCTGTTTGTTTTAGATATAAATTGTGTCGGAAATGTTGGATATAAAAGTGTCGGAAATGTTCAACATCATAGAAGATCCTTTTACTAACCAGGATCCAACATTGTACACAAATCAAGACATCGTAAAGCCTTTTTGTTCCGTTTCGGCGTGTTTCTTCTTGGCTGCTCTGACCAGCGTTGGCATCCCGTCGTCGTCGGGGATCCAAGTCTTGGCTCCGTGGACTGTAGACATGCGGTGCGACTGGTTGGGCAATTCAGATCGGACACCCCCCAACAAAGGGACACACATGAAAACCACATGGAATCATAAGACAGGAATTGTAAAAACCCAGGCTGCTGACTATTTGGAGGAACTTGTTCTTCCATCTCGTGAAGACATGGCCACAAACGCGGCTCCGGCTGCCTGGCACGCGCATCCGCGACAGCCTGGCCCCAGCCTCCCAGGCAAACCTCCTTGTTCCCCTTCCTGGCCCTGCTGGATGGGCGCCAATCTTGGACCGAGCTCCGTGACGAGTTCCTTGGAGCGATCTGGATCGTGTCCGGGCGCAGCAGTGCCCACATCCACGTCAACTGGATGGGACTCAAGTGATGTCCTTTTGGAAGCATGCCGGGAACTGCAGGAAACTGCATGATGTTTAGGATGTTGTTTGTTTTCTGTTTGAGTCAATCCACCAGTGTGACAAAGATATTTCTAATGTTTTTTCCAGGTTCCTTGAGCAAGTTTTGGAGGACAGGGAGCAGACGTAAAGAGTGAAAACGTGACATCAGATGTAAGGGCCTCCGGAATATGCTATCATCGTGTTGCCATTGGAATCAACATGGATTGAAAAGGTCCCTCTTTTCCTGGTGGGGAGAGGTTCACGACCACCTTGGGGACGGGTGGTCTGTGGACCTCCACAACTCTGATCATGGAAGAGAGCAATGTTTTTGGTGAGCAATGCCTGTTGGACAGTCTATTCGAGGTAGATAATGTATGATAATGTATTATGCTTCAGTTTTAAGTTGGCCTCCAACTGATGCAACCCCTCACTACCCCCACCTGGTCACGCCGAACAACCACGAGTACACCCTCCCTAGTCTCTGAAAACTGGACCTCTCTCAGACCGGAGGACTTCGCCGGTTTGACGGTTCGGTCCAAGGATGGTGACCTCCAATCTGGTGGCTGCCAGCATCACTGCGGTGCTCTTCAGTTGCTTGGGTGCTTTGCGGCCTGCGTGGATGGCCTTTGGCACCACGAAGGGCCTCTAACATGCCGGTCGAATGAGCGCGATGTGAAGGCGTAGATGAGTGGATGGCACACAAGTTCAGAGCTGGCTGATAGGTGCATGTATGTATTTATAGAACCTATATTGATACCCGATTTTGATAGGATAAGGCCATCAGGTCTTGGTACCCATCAGCCAATGGCCCGTGCTGTGTAGAATCCACTCTCGAACCGCTGGCTCGGATGCTCCGGCTGTTTGACATTGGCACGGCGAGAAGCGGAGAAAGAAACCCTTGTGTTGGACGAGGCGAAAAACAGAGAACCCACCCGAGGCGCACAGTGGTTTCAGAGTAGATGGCACAATCCGCAAGGTCGGTGGCTGATATGCATACTATGGACCCCTTCCAGTGGACATCTTGCTGTGTGCCAGTGTCGTCTACTCTGAAAAACCCACCGAGCAGCCACAAAAACACACCGAGCCCAGATGTGCGGATCGGCGCGCCGTTGGGTGGGGCTTCACCAAAAAGATGGCCCGGTCTCAGCCGAGCGCTTTCCGTGTCTTGACAGCCTAAGCCACTGGACCAGTGGCTTGACACGGATGTGCCCAGTCGAACGCATCCACGGATGCACCCATGGATGACGGAAAAGGGCTCGTGGGGTGACCCAGACACTCCATGGGACTGCCATATATAGATCAGTTAGGGTGGTTTTGGGGGGTCAATGTAGGCATATATGGCATACATGGAGTGTTTGGGTGACCATTGTCTCACTACAAACAGGTGGAGAACCTCCACTTCTATGATGATTCTCAGGAGTGTATACAGGAGTGTGGAGACCAGTGGAAGCACATTGTACGACGACTTCTGCGTCAGTACGGAAGTCGTTAAGTCACTGGACGTCCTCGTTTGGGAATGTTTGGGAGCTTGGTCTTTTGCTAACATGAGCCAATGCCAGGAGGTTGATAGGGCACGTGTCGAGGTCAGGATCAACGTTTCAGATGTGACTTGGGTTTCGTTGGTGTTTGTTTGATACCATCATCATATATGTTCTATTAAAATTGGTGCTCCTTCATGAATAATAATATATTTTATTTATATGGTGTTTTGTTATTTTCACACACATGGACTCTTCATCAGGTAAAAATAAAGGTTGAACACACAAAATAACAAACCACTTAATATTATATGGGCGCTGGAATCCACCAAATACAAATAAAAAGTGTCCTTATCCACAGCTGTTTGGTCTTCGCGAGCATGCCGCAAAAACGGGATCCGAGCCCCTTCTCAGACGTTATGGTAGACGACCCCGCCCAACTCACCTGCAAACATTCCCAACCACCTTGTCCTAAATGTCGTAACATGCCATGCATTTGCCATACATGGAGTGTTAGGCGACATCGACATCGGAGTGGACGACCCTCGTTTCGGCCAATGACGTCGATCGCGGCAGCGTCCGACCCTTCAGGAGATGTGCTACACTTGGCCCAGCGTCGAGCTGAGGCACCGGGGGAGACAGGTGACGCGGACGCGTGGCCGCTCGGGGCGCCAGGTCTCTCCAAGCTGGGTGACTGATGCTGGTCTCTCCGACGCCAACCTAGACAGGATGCTGGGTGACAGAAGTGCACCTAGACCGACAGGTCCAAAGGGTCCGATTGAACACCAAATCCTCAAGACCCCCCGATTGTGCGAGTGCGCAAGTGCTCAAGTGCTCATTGTAGACTCCCGAAATGGCCCAGCTCCCATCAATGTCCCAAACAACCCCTATAGAGAATCAACTCATTGAACTCTTTCCCGCCACCGTGAGCGGTGGGAAATGCGACCAGAAAAGCTTGAGAGGCGTGAAGGCCCTGAAGCTGTGGAGATTTGGGATGGCGATCCGGCCTCGCGTGGGGAGCCCCGGCGGCTGAAACGACGAAGGGACACGAGGGTTTTGGGGAAAAAGGCGATGTTGGAGCGTTTTGGGGTGTGTGACTGGTAGGGGAAGAAGGAGAAAACCGGAAGAGACGAAGATAAACAGAAAAAGCAACAGGCAGAAGGAAAGGAAGAGGTGTCTACTCCTCGCAATCTCTCGCACAAAAAAATAGAAGTAGCACACGGAGACCTACGGCCTAGATAAACAGTGACTTGTCAGAGTCACAGTGGCTTGGTGAAACAGTGACCTGTGACTAAGTGCCCTTTGATGCCACTGGCTTGTTCAAGGTCAGTCACAAGGTCACTTAACTCGGATGCATTGAGTTGCTAATAGCGATGGCCTCCAACCTATAGTCAAAAAGGCCCAACATGTGATTCCTTTCTCTCGGCCCTTCTCGGCTGGTCAGCTCGGGGGGAGCTGGTCTGCTGGTCTGACACGAAAGCCAGTCGTTCGTTGAGGCGAACATCACCATTCTCCAGCCTGTTGCCACTGCCTTCCCATGCCTTTTTGGTTTCCATTCCCATCCAACCATCCCCTCCAAGTAATACGTATACCACGGTATACCTTGCCATCCATCCAGGTCCAGTCACATGACTCATCACCTGACCCACCCAGGCCTGCTGTCACACGAGTCGGCGGACGACTCGGCCTAAGCGCGTGACTGGCCCGGATGGACGATGGGGCGGATGCGGGCGGATGGCGCCATGGGGCGGATGGGGTGGGGTGGGGAGGTGGAACCATCGAGGCATCGGAGAAGTGGTGGGCATGAGCCATGGACCGACCTCCAACAGGTCTCCTGGGCCGAAACCGACGATTCAAACGGGCCGGTCGAAGAAAGGTCGGTCGAACCGAACAGGTTCGGAGGTTGGTCGTTCACGCAGCATGGAGCGGAAGCACTATTTTGGATATGTAGTGTCACTCATGCAGCGCATGCGGCATGGATCGGCGGATTGCCAGTGCCACGTCTGACCCATCCATGTAACGTCACGAAGTGGATGGCACGGGAGCAGCCCCCATGATGTCTTAGACAGATCGGGGGTCCATATAAACCACCCCCAGACACTCGATGCCCTGTATGCCTACATTGACCCCCAAAAGCACCCCTGGCCTCATCGGCATATATGGCAGTCCCATGGAGTGTTTGGACATATGCATTTTTGGGATTGTGCCATCTACTCTTTGAAAGCACTGGGATCGGCGATCCCATCGACTCTTAGATGCTTTGGGGATCGGAGCTCTCCGGCAGCGCAGCGCAAACCACCGGCGAAGCCCCTCGGACGCAGCGCAAGCCGCCCGCGGAGGAAGCTCTCCGCGATTCCGCTTGGGGAAACAGGTTACACCGGAGAGGGGACAACCAGGTGGTGACACCGGGTGGTGACACCAGGTGGTGAAACTGGGTGGTGAAACCGGAGAAGTAGATTTACAGGAAAGCCATGGACAACATGCAAGACATGTCAGAGTAAATGCATCTCTTTGCAACTGTGGGCACTATGGTCACGCCCCTGAGTTTGTCATGCTGTTCACATCGCCCCAAGCAGTCTTGGGGCAGAAGAGATACCCACCGTGTTCAAGAGAGTGACCATGGGAACTGTCTACCACGTAGTTTCTACTAAAGATGGTTGGGGGAGTGTTCCCCTACGTATTCGAATGAGCTCAGGACAAGACACTATCCGTACCCAGACCATCCACGGGACTGGCCTATTTGCTGATCAGTTGGGGTGATTTCAGGGGTCCATTGATCGGCATATATTCCAGTCCCATGGATGGTTTGGGTGAGATTCCCATGTTCTGTTTTTTCACCGGACGCACTTAAGCTCCTGCACCACCTTCGCATGGCTGCCATCTCGCCGCGTCCTGTTCCATCGTAGCTCAGGTCGTTCCAGACCGGAGGACTGGCAATTCCAGAGAGCAAGTTTGAGCTTCTGGGTTCATTGGAGCTGGCCATCCCTCAATGCTCGCGGGCGACCGTGTTGTGCTGTGTTTGGGTGTTGTTTGACCGCTTCTTTGAACTGGGTGACCAGTGGTCGCTTTGCAAAGGAGGTAGGGCAATGGTCAGAACAAACAGCTGCAAACGGGTGCACAGGACATGGTTTGCTCGGAACTGGGCATGAACATTGAGTTCCGAGAAATTTGATGAGAAGGGCGTGGACAATGGGTTGATCACAACTGTTTGTGCCAGACAAGTTCCAGTTTGTTTATGATATATATGGTTTGGGTTGTGGATGAGTTTGGTGTAAATCAAAGAAGTGTGGTCAGAGACTGGACAAGACTCGAACGCCAGACCGTGCAGCAGGGATGAGCCATCCAATATGCCGGATTTGCAGGATTTAGGTTCCTGAAGTCTTAGCAATTTTTGATGTGGTCACTCCATCATTGGATATGAAAAGGCCGCATAGCCCAGCAGCCCAGCAACAGATCTTTTGTCAATGAGGGCTATAAAGCCAAAAGCTCAAGTATGTCTAAGTTCCTCCTAGCGAATTAGTGACCAGTAGTTCGACAAAAAAAGGGACAACACCTCTTCGGTGGACGTCAGACGGGCATACCCTTCAGACGGACGTGGTCGGGTTGAGTAGCCAATCCTCCATCCTCCCATCACTATCCATGGAGAACTTCCGCTCCGGCCGGATGGCTGATGGCTCGCATCGGCTCCCCAAGTCACCATGTGCCGGTCACCAAGTGCCAAGTCCCAGTGGATTTGAAGGTGGGTAGGCCCAAACTTCCAAAATCTTCCAAACGTTTGTGAACATTCATATTGCATCCCACGTGCTTTTCAAGCGGAACACCTTGCCCCGTTGTCACGTTGAATAGCTCGGCCAGCGCCGATCGATGAGTTCCATGTTACACCAACAGAGGTTGAGCATGAAGAACCCTATAGAGTACTAAAGAATAAAGTATCCCATAGGTACCCCAGTAGGGTCCTATATAAGGTCACTGAAGCTCTGTTGGAACGACTTTTTTGGTTTTGTGGGAGGAGACGAGGTGAGGAGGTTTTTGCACCGGTGATGTGGGTCCCTAGCGCCGGGCCACCGACGACCGACAGACTTGCCATCATGTGGTGCGACTCACGTTTCGTAGCACGTGCGACATGCCGTGCGACGCGTGGCTGCTACCCGCGGCGTGGCGGCGTGGGTCCTTGAAGATTAGGTGCTGGCCACATCAGCAGTTTTCACATCGGCAGATGCGCAACCTGATAGACAGCGGTCGATCCGGT